CCCACAGCCACATACTGCCGGGGAACATATACCCAGACATCTGCTGAAGTTCTGGTCATTAGAAGACACTGCTTGCCCCCCCCCCCCCCCTCTCCTCCTGTTGGTTGGTTGGTTGGTATATTTTATTTTACTTCGCCAGAATGAACAGGCATTGCTGCCTTCTTGCCTGGACAAGTGGATTGTCCAAGCTCTCACAAAAAGACGAAGCCTGTCACTTTACTCTTTAGTTTAGACTGGCCACTGGCCACTGTACTGGTACTACTACATGTATACAGTAGTGCAGTTCCTAAACACGAGACATGTGTGTTGACAGACGGATGTTGGCACGCATGCATGCTCACTGCACTGGCCTCTTAGGAACACACATAACCTTAACCCCTCTTTTCGTCTCACTCCGTTACTGCGACAAAACACAACTGAACAACGGTGACAACCCGCCATAATTATGATACGTCTAACCAAACACCTCCGTGTCTGCAAAGCCTAGCGATGCCACTCCTTGATGACGGGGGCAGCACATAATTCACCTCAAACGTTGTGAGATAGCTCGAGCACAAACGTGCCACACATGCCACAAATCGACAAAACAAGGGAAACGATTTGTTGCCCGAGAGGAAGTATACACCATGTACATGTACATGTACGCACCATGTACATGTACATGTACATTATCCATATAAAAACTGCTCTCTGAGCAGTTCTGAAAAACCTATACTGGTGCAGCCCCGTCGTAAAACTATGAAATTAGAACTGGGCCTTTATCCCCCCCATGTGAAATGGTCCACCTAAATAGGGAATGACGGGACCCGAACGCACCAGTAGCACGAGGTCGGGAGGGCACATGTCACCAATACTACTGCAGTGTATCAGTGGCCGTGTACAAATATTGCTATGGGGCTGTGGACCAGCGTCCCCATCTGCATCCATATGTGTAGGTGGGAACCTCGTGCTACTGGTGCGTTCGGGTCCCGTCATTCCCTATTTAGGTGGACCATTTCACATGGGGGGGGATAAAGGCCCAGTTCTAATTTCATAGTTTTACGACGGGGCTGCACCAGTATAGGTTTTTCAGAACTGCTCAGAGAGCAGTTTTTATATGGATAATTTCAGTTCTTTTTCCGTTCCCCCACCCACCCCGGGCCCAGCCATGAGGACAACCAACCCATTGAACCACTGCATGTTTCCCAGTAAATGAGTGTAGAGCGGTTGCACCATGGAGCACTGTATACGTTGAACGTTCCAGTGTAACGGGTGAGTTTTAGAGTGGGCATTGATATGATGTCGAGCCCCAACTCCGTCCCGTCGCAATGGGACATTGCAGTAGGGTGGTCACATAGCCAGCTGTGAGCACCCGTGCTTCGGCAGTGCGTGGCACTGGCACGCACCTCCTGATCAGCAGGTCATGCTGCCCGACTGCACATACGTGTATACACTCACGCAGACACGCGTACAGTTGATGTGACATGGACCAATGTACATACGCACAGGCAGAGGCGTGAAGAGACACACGGACAAATGGAAGCACAACAGTACGCATTGTTGTAGACAGGGGTGCATAAGCGCACATGCACATTGCGGCAACCGTGGGCCGCACCACGGCCCGCGCATGCGCCAAAATCTCTGTCGTCAGTGACGGGGCCAGTGAGACCACGGCACACCTTCCCCCCCCCCCAACACACGCACAAGGGAAGACATAAATGAATGCGCACACACACACACACACACACACACACACACACACACACACACACACACATACACACACACATACACACACACATACACACACACGCACACACACATACACACACACATACACACACACACACACACACACACATACACACACACACATACACACACACACACATACATACACACACACATGCACACACACACAGACACGCGCGCAGAGGAGAGCAAACACGGACATGTTGTGCAATAGCACTTCAGCAGACTTAATTCAACACATTGGCTTTCGGACGAAACATTTTTAATTGCATCAATGCTGTCGACGCTGCTTCAATGGCCAAGTGATGCGTGGCGATTGAAACTATGGCGACCTGGACACGAACGCAAGGAGAAGGCAGAAGAATGCGTGTTTAGGCAACAGACGGAGGTTGTGAAGCATTCACCCATTGCATACCACCGATGCGGGAAGTTCAGTACTTGCGGGTTATGGAAAATTTCCCTTGTCCAACGATTTAGCACAGGTCGATGTTGCAGACACCAAGGTGGAAATGTGTAGGCACAATGCGGAGGTTTTCACTCACATAACTTGTTAGTCTGTTCATGAGATTTCCCACAAATCCATCGCAATCTGCAAGGGGGAAGGGACCACCTCCTCCTTTCGCCTTAGCATGTGGCAAGAAATGCATGCAAACACAGGTACGTTACACACCTTCTCCTCGAATGCCGCATACTGTTCGGCATGCCTAGTAATAATAGCATTTTCATCCAAACATAGATCGTGGTCGACTGTCATGCCCATTTGGGGCACAGCAATGTCTTTGAATGCGTCATCAAGGTACTTTCCTACCGTGAAATGGTCCCACACACCCGCAGGATACAGTCTGGTAACCTCAGCAACCATGCAATACATGTCGTTAAGGGTGCACTCACGAGCTAGTACATCTGTCAAGGCCTGCCGCGCTAGACATGCACGCTTCACGGCTGTTGCACTGGCGTACAATTTAAATGCTACATTGGAATGTGGCCTCATATGGTACAAGTTGCACCACAAGCTTCTGCATCCACTGTCAAAAGTGCAATTTACAGAATACCCGGTTTTGCACGTGGGAAGGCACCATTTCAAGTTGCGATCGACAATTTCGCATTTAGCACATGGATAAGGCATGTGGTCCACGTTCCTACTCTTTGACATGCGCGATTCAGCGAACAAGTTTCCCAACATGTCGCCCAAGTTCCTTTTCTCGTCGACACACCCAGTAACCAGGTCACAAAAGTCGCGTATCTGAAGCGCACTACCCCTCACGCACCTTGCACAGACCATCGCACTTCTGCAGCTCCACAAGTGTCAGTCCATCATCGTCGGGAGACACAACTTCAACTTGACCTGCCATTTCTCCCCCATCTGGCGACTGGACAGTGTTGTGTGCCTTGCCAGTGATGTCAGTAATTATAGGCGTCAATAATTCACTACCATCGCTGCCCAGACAAATGCGCCACGAGTCACTATGATAAGGTTGTGCCCTGCTGTCATGATGGTGACAGTCACCGCGGTATGTTTTGTCAACGTCACCCGTGCACTCTTCCGTCAAGTCAAGTGTGCTCACATATTTGGCAAGGTCTTTGCAGCGATTAACTTCTATCCTAGTTATGTCACGGGTAACTTTAATGAAGTACCCGCAGACCTTGTCAATCCGAACATCGTCCACTCTCTCTGCATCGTCCAGGAGACGAGCGCGAATAGCGTCACGGATTACGTCTCGCTGACTTCCTCTCGTGTTGGCAGTGAAAGTGTACAGTGGTGGTGAAATAGGTGGAAATGTAGTTCTGTCGGGATCAGCGCTTTCAGAAGGATGCCACGTGGGGAGGCCAAATGCAGCGTCCGGAACATCGTCCGCACTGCCTATAATGTCACATATGTGCAATGCTGCACACGGGTTTTTTGCGCGGTATCTTTATGTGTGTCCGTTCCTTTGCCCGTGTTCTTCGTAATCGCTTTTGCGGGGGCACTTTCGCTTTCTTTGCAACAGGCCCATGCTTTTCCCTTCCTTCTTCGATGTCTTAATGCGCGCGGCGGGCTCTTTCACCCGCGATCTCGCCTGCTTTGCTTTCTCCCGAGATGTCACCATGTAAGCGGCCTGCTTTGTCTTTGCGTGTCCAGGCGCAATTTCTGTATGTCGCCTTGGTGGTTCATGACTACGTGTCTTCTGGCCAAATCTCGCCATGTACTTGGCCTGCTTTGTCTGTGTATCCATTTCATGTGCGACCAACAAAATCTCAATGCACTACAGAGACTAGACAGTGGGTGCAATACGCTCTCTATCTGAAGACGTGAACCATTACATTTTTTTGAAAAGTTATACGTACACCTGAAACGTAATGATGTACAGGAATAGAGAGAGTGACTACAATACGCTCTCGACCTGATATAGTGATAACGTGAGTACAAGACACTCTCCACCTGATAACGTGTTAGAAGGTAATAGGTCTACAGTCCCACCGTACCCTTCCTACACGACTGTAGACCATTACATTTTTTACTACAATACGCTCTCGACCTGATAACGTGAGTCACAAGACACTCTCCACCTGATAACGTGTTACAAGGTAGCAGGTCTACAGTCCCACCGTACCCTTCGTCATTCCTCATTCACCATCGCGCGATACCCGGCACACACTGGCAACATATCAATGGGGTGCCTTACCGTCGTCTAGACCAATATTTTCCCTCCTGCGCATTCAGTCGCCGACGCGACAGCGTTTACGGGGCCGTTCCAGTTGCGGAAGACATTCGATTCATCGGGCCAGTTCAGCAACAGGGCCGTGGACACACAGGGGCAGAGGAGAGACATTGTTAGTGGACAAGAAATATGCAGTGGCAAGTGGCGAGTGCCGCATGGATGTCAAGTTGTCATGCACAATCCAGCTATTACTTACAGTCCCCCTAGTCCTGCCATTGCTCGCTCGTCCTGGTTCGTCCTCGTTCGTCTTCCTGCACGTCTGCACTTCTCCTTCCCCACCGTTGGCTTTGCGGTACGGGGGTGCCGGAAGGAATTCCCACCATGTATCCATGTACATGAAGTCCCACCATGTCTCCATGTACATGTCCACGGCCACGTCAGCAGTTTGTATAGTACCGGAAGGAGTTCCCACGATGTCTCCAAAGGCCTAGACCGGACGTCTTTGCAGCAATTATTTTCACCCTGCACATTCACTCCGCCGACACGACAGCGTTGACGGGGCCGTTCCAGGTGCAAAAGGTCCACTTCAGCAGTTCTCAACTATTTCGCGTACGGGGCAGTCGCCGCGACAGCGTTTAAGGGGTCGTTCCAGGTGCAAAAGGCATCCATCAATGGCACTTTGCAGTACGGGGTACGGAAAGGGGCCTCCTCGCAGTTGTCCTTGCCGTCAGGTCCACGTCATGCAGTTCTCAACTATTTCGCGTACGGGATAGTCGTCTTTGTCGTACGCGACATCGGCGTTTACCAAGAGTACATGAAAACCAGAGTGTGCAGCTTGGGGCCTTTTCTGCTATGGCAGTATGGGTGTCTGTCACGGCGAAATTCCGTGATTACATCATATTTGGCCCAGATCTGAGGCGGGAAATGGCGTAGTGCGTACAACTGAGCTGCAGTTGTTCAGAAAGAGACCTGCTTGAATCCTGCTTGTACGCACTACATCACTAAAATGATGTAATCACGGAATTTCGCCGTGACAGCAACCCATCCGAGCTGCACACTCTGGTTTTCATGTACTCTTGCGTTTACCGAGTGGCATTGGCACAAAGCTGACCGTTGACGGGGTCACGTGTCCAAAAAGTGTCAACAACGTGTCGACTACGTGTCGACCACGTGTATAGCGGTACACTCAGCGGTACACTAATTCTCGTGCCATTCTCGTGTCACAAAACTGGAACATCGAGTACCAGTATGGAAAGGCTTCAGACAGGAAGCCTTTCCAATGTACGTAGCTCGAAGTAGGAGTCTGACTATAGGACTACAGTAAAACCTGGTTAAGCGACCACCCCACAGTGCAAGCAAAAGCGGTCGTTAAAGCCAGGTGATCTTTAGAACCAGGTCCCAGAGTGTCTGTGTAGAACTGTCCGTGCATGGAAAAGCGGTCGTTAATCAGAGACCACACTACGTTCAACGACGCTGCAATGGGTGGTCACTGAAACCAGACTACTTGTAAGGTTTTCCTCCTGTAATGCACCATGATGAAGGTTGCAACCAGGGAGTACTGATTATGGTATTGTCTTTTTTGCTTTTGAATCACACTCCACGGTTTCACGCGATTGCCGTTGTGAATACTAGTAAACCCGTTCTCAAGTAATCATGATGAAGAAAGGAAAAGGACAAAATGTAACGAGTTATGACAAACTGTCCACCAACGAAACCAGATCTTATACAGTCAGCGAGTGCTTTTCCTTTCTTCATCATAACTATATTGGCTCACCATCCGAGTTCAAGTAATTATGGTTGTACAGTACTACTCCTTGGTTGAAACCATCCAGACCAACCAAACGCAGCACCACAAGGAAAATGTGGAAGCCTGGCCACACTGAATCCTAGTTTGCACAGAGATGAAATCAAATGCAAGCCAGCCGAGCGAAGCTAACGGAGCGTGTTCACATCACACCGGGATAACTAGCTGGAACGAATAAGCTTGAAGCAAAATTAAAAGTAAATCAGAAAAATTGAAGGTCGTCTGACATTGGAAAAGGTCACTGTTATGCGTTACTTATCCGCAAGACACACAATAACTGAATAAGTAAGAATGATATTGATAAAGAGCAATGTGAATACCAAACCAGCTGGTAGCATTTCATGAAGTCACTGTTGTATGAATTTATAAGCGTGAAGTTGAGAAGGGTCCGCGATAGAAGATATATTTCGTTGTGAAGGCACGGCTGTGTGTGTGCTAGCAGGTCAGCCAAGCCAGACTTACGTACACCAGGCACGGCACGGGCAGGGGCGTCAGGGATAAGAACAATGATCGTGAACTGCCTAGTTCAGTAAATGGTGGAGGAACGGGTATGGAAATGAACATGGGCATGATGAGAACACGGTGCCCCGCACACGACTCAGTCGTCCCCATCTGTCAGCTGATCTGGTGTCGGCGAGTGGACCGGCGATGCCACGACCAGAAGCGACGGGTCGAGTGTCGGGTCTGCATCCACGGCGACTTCGCACGCCGGAGCAGTCGATTCAGACCCATCCACCGTGTCCTCCTCATCTCCATCCTCCTCCGACATCGCCGTCTGCACTATTGTATCCTCAGCGGTAGAGTCTTCAGGAATAGCCACAGCTGCGGTGGTGGTGGCGGTGGTGGCACTGTCACTTCCAGCCTACAATGCATAGGGATATGCACAGGGATATGCACAGGGATATACACGGGGATATACACGGGGATATACACGGGGATATGCACGGGGATATACACGGGGATATGCACGGGGATATACACGGGGATATGCACGGGGATATACACGGGGATATACACGGGGATATACACGGGGATATACACGGGGATATACACGGGGATATACACGGGGATATACACGGGGATATACACGGGGATATACACGGGGATATGCACGGGGATATACACGGGGATATACACGGGGATATGCACGGGGATATACACGGGGATATACACGGGGATATACACGGGGGCAGAACGTCAGTGACAGAAACAAGAGCAACGGCAGGAACGCCAACAACACGAGGAGCAACAGTGCCAAGTGCCGACAGGGCAACAGAAGAGATGGCCTTGAAAACGTTACAGGAATATACATGTACATGACACAGAATAACAAGGGCAATCAAGGCTTGTAAAGTGTCATGCTTTCGCAATACAGCGGAGGCGACCGGCTGTGTAGCTGTGACCTCAAGCTTCACACATTTCAGCCACCATCAGACAGCAGCAGTTGGCATTCACCTCGGCCTCCGTTGGATGTGCATACTGCTCTGCACATGTGTGCACTGAGCACCCTGCTTCGAGCTGCCTCGACCAGCCTTGTTTCAGATACCGGTACATGACATGTTCTTTTTGCTTATGGTGTTGGTACTGAGTGCGTAACTCACTCTATTCAGTGCGTTTTAAAAGAGCAACAGTGGTACAGACACAGTGGTACAGACACAGTGGTACAGACTTACGTCATCATCGCCCTTCTCTTCGGCAAGGAAGTTCTCAAACTCGCCGCTGTCGTCGATGCACTGGTATTCGTCGACGGAGGCGGACGACGCGCCACGTGGCCGTGTGATGGCTGCACATCGGGAGCAACAGGCACAGAACAAACACATCAAACATAGAGTGGCGTATGTAGGCGCAGCACAGAGTGGCGTACTGTAAAACTGGAAAATTTCGGTGGAGTTTTATTTTCGGTAACGTCGGTACAGGTAATTTAAAGGGAAACTGTCACCAAATATTTCTTTGTCTTATCTTGTAGTCTTTTGGCTCCTGATCACGATGGTGTCCTTCATTTTTCCCTGCGATGACTGGAAGTGGGTGAAAACTTGAAAAGAAGGTGCCCAAAATTGTCCCGAAGTACCGAGTGACGTCACGCCGGATATGACCTCCACGCGTACATTCGTCGTCAAAAACGAAGTCAAGCCCGTGTGTTGGTCGATCGAGCTACATTTTGTAGCTGATCCGATGTACCATGATGCACGGTGCACGCGTGCCTTCTGAACTGGGACACAGATGGGTACGTCGTACAGAAGGAGAATGCCAAAGAGGCAGAGACCCACGGGCAGCTACACAGCTAAATCAAAATAAAAAGCAGCCGAGCGTTCACCTTTTTGACTTCTTCCGCGATGACCTTAGGGCGTGATCGATTGGGCGAATCTCGAGCAAGTGCGCTCGAAGTGAGCGTGATCGTTTGGCCGAATCCGGAGTGGGTGTACTTGGAGTGCAATCCGACCACACCGGCCCCCACACCGGGAGTGGCCGGAGTGGAAATGGACTTTATTACGCTCGTGCTGTGAAGTGCGCTTTCTTTCGGTGCCAGAGAGCCATTAGAGAGGTTCAGTGACTCGTTTTTCATGAACGAAACGAGTGCTGACACCTGGTCCGGGTTAGAGTCTCGTTGACATCTCGTCCAGAAGATTCGTTTTTACGAATCCGGCCTGTCTGATTCGTATGCAGCTCCGAGATCGATCTGCCCCAGAAAGTGTGAAAACTTTTTGACTTTTTGAAATTTTTTCATCTTTGTTGATTATCGATTCTTTCGTTTTCACTTCCGTTGTGTTTGGTAAGAATTTTTCCTTTCCTTTTTCCGCAATGTCAAGTGAAGTGCAGGCTCCCCCAACATCCCCCTCCACCCCCGTGTCTCCCTCTGGAGCAACTCCTGTAGAATGCAGAAGAATTCGGAAATTTGCAGTCTTAGATGACATCAAGTTGCTGAACTTGATCTTGTCCTCTGGGCATGAAAACGTCGTTGCCTTACCGCAAGGGAATAAGGCTTGGCAGGACATCGGCAACGCCCTGTCACGGTCGGAGCCGAAACTGGGCGGTATCACCAGCCGGGCAGTGAAGGACCGAGCTGAAAAAGTCGTGCGAGACGGCCGCGTGAAAGACAACTGGCGTGCCAAGGAGACTGGTACTGCAGAGCAGTATGGCGTCAAGGAGGCCTTGATGCTGGATGCGATAGCTCTATGGGAGAAGAAATTTTGCAGAAAGATCTTTCAAATTTTCTCTCCGCCATATTTACCATGGCAATCATGATGCGACTCGCTATCTTCTCGTGCACGAGTCACTGAACCTATTTTGGGCACTGCACGAGCCAAATACAAAACGAAATCGATCTCGTTCGTTTACGAGTTGATAACGAATCACTGAACCTCTCTATTAGCAATGCCCAATGAGAAAAAGCAGGCAGTGGAGGATGGCTCCGACGCCGAGGTAGAAGTTGTGGAGAGGAAAGCCGGCTTTTCCTGGAGTAAGAAGCTCACCATTGACCTTATCTCGGCGCTATCAGCGCGAGACGAACAATTCTCAGATGTTGCAGTAAAGAAGAAAAGCATATGGATAAACATTGCCCGCGAATTGGAGAGGGATAACGAAGGAACATCGCATCCCACAGCTGACCAATGTGAAAACCGTTGGAAGACGCTAATGCGCAATTACAAAGTGTTTGTTGACTCTCAGGCAAGAACGGGAGCGGCCAGGAAGGAGCCTGCCTTCTTCCAAGAAATGAACGACGCCTTTGGGTGGAAGCCCAATGTAAAGTCCAAGTGTGTTGCTGGGTCCCTTGTCGGCCATCCTAAACCTGAAAGTGTGGGTAAACGGGAGTTGGAGGATTATAGCGATGAAGATGAGCAGGAGGAAGTGTTCAACGATGATGAGGCGCCGTCAGACAAAACGGAATCTGCAGCTGCAGCTGCAACACCTCGTCCCACGAAGAAGCGATGCTGAAGCTCTACGCAAGGCAAGCCATCGAAAGCTTTTCAGTGGATGAAGTCAGAAAGGGAGTCTGACAAGAAAGAACAGGCAGATCGCCACAAGGAGAAGATGTCAGTTCTTGGCAGTCTTGTAACAGCAGTCAACCGGCTCTGTGATTCTTCATCCCAATTTAATCCGTACTGGTCAAGTCGTAAATATTACATGTACTTCAAGAAGTAATACCAGTTTGTTATAACAATGTTCTCTTTTAATTCATTGCATTCCCAACTCATCACAACCACGCGCTCTTCAGCCGAACCATACAGACACCAGCAAGGACACTTCCGTTGAGAGATAATATTGCTCCACGCCTCTAGACAGCTGTTTCGCTCCCTGTCGGAGCTCATCAGTAGAGGATGATAATGTAATAATGTTCTCTTTTCATTATGCTTTACACTGAAGTATAGCCCGCCGACTTGTTACCGTAATTTAATAAATCATTGCGCCTGTTCTCTACTATTTTGCATTTCTGTTTGGTTCAATATCCGAGTTAAATCGTTACTCAGTCGAGGTGTCCTTCCATTCATGTGTCGTTGCCATAATAAGAACAAAGAAGTCTTCCGGAACCATCATATTATGATGGGGGAAGAAGTACTGAAAAGCAGAAATTTTCGGTGGTGTTTTATTTTCGGTAACTTCAGTGCCGACAATTTTCACCGAAAATAAAACGCACCGAAAATTTCCGAAAATTTCGGTGCTACCGGTACTGTATACATTTTAATACTAGTACACTTACCTGGAGAACGGGTTTTAACGAAAATTTCCCTCTACCGAACCGCCGATTTTGGAGAATACCGAAAATATTACACCACAGAAAATTTCTGCTTTTACAGTAGCTGAAAGATGGTTGTGCAGCAAGAAAATAAATAATAGTTGATATGCTCTTTATGGAGAAAGAGCCGCATTAGGATCACCGGATCCATACTTGATTGCTGATGGGTCGAACGTAGAGCCAGAAGCAGACATTATGTGACATAATGTCAACAAATGGGTAGCACATGGGGAACACATTGTGAGCAGCAAGACAGCCAGAAATGGACATGAGGATACCGGAACGGACATGTGCAACCAGAAACGGACAAGCGCATCTAAAGGGGAGCACATTGCGAGCAGCGGCAAAGCCAGAAACGGACATGCACATCCAGAAACGGACAAGAGAATACACAGGGAGCACTTTGCGATCGTCAGCACAACCATAAACGAACATGTTTGTGCAGAAACGGACCTGTGCAGATAAATGATGCCAAAAGAGGCACATACATGATCAAAGCTGATGATTGCTAAAGATGAGATGAACTTGCAAAAAAACAGTTGTACTTGATTGGGCTCTTCCCAAAAAGCCGAACTTGAAATAATAAAGTAGAAATGAAATTGAAGAGAAATACGATCTAAACGGCGAGAAGAATGGTTCACAAGTAAAAAGGTCCACGCTCGAGGTAAATGGAAAACTGGTGCCAACACAGGCACATAGAGGATAACGACTGATGATCGCGACAGTTGAGCAAAACTTGCAACAATACATTGGTACATGAGATTGAGCTGTTTCCCCAAACGGAACCAGAGCAAACTGAAATAATAAAACATCAAATAAACTGAAGAGGAACAAAGGCATAACCGCAATAAGCGTTGTTCGCAGTCAAACATTGAAGGTAAGCCCTCAAGGTGCCAAGTAGTCGGCAATCCGGTGACGCTTGTCAATGGAAGGAGTATTTTCCTGAAATACATGGGCATGTTGTGAACTTCATTTTCAGGTTGCTCCTTCAGGAAGTCCGTCACGTCGTCACCATCCATTATGGCCATATTGTGCAGCGCACATGCTGCCACAATTATGTGAGTCGCAGTCTCGACATTTGTGACATTGAGCCTTTGCAGCTGCCTCCATCTGCCCTTTAGCAGGGCAAATGCCTTCTCGATAGCCATACGGGTAGAAGGATGGTTAAAGTTGTAATTACCGACAAATTACTGTCGACTTTTGTTTGTTTGCTCCCTTTTTGGCGTTCTCATTGAGTAAAACGTAGATCTACACATCAGTGTCCGAGTTCAGAAGGCACACGTGCACCGTACATCGCACAGTTGGCTCGATCCACAAGCGCACGGGCTGGACTTCGTTTTTGACGACGAATGTACGCGTGGAGGTCAAGTCCGGCGTGACGTCACTCGGTACTTCGGGACAATTTTGGGCACCTTCTTTTCAAGCTTTCACCCACTTCCAGTAATCACAGAGAAAAACGAATAACACCATCGTGATCAGGAGCCAAAGCACTAAAAGATAAGACAAAGAAATTTGTTGGTGACAGTTCCCCTTTAACCTAAAATAAAACGCACCGAAAATATACGTACAGGCTGCGGTGCGGAAAACTGGTTTACCAAAATGTTTGCGCTACCGAACCTGGTTTTAGAGTACGTAGGCACAGCATAAGATTTACATGTATTGAGTTCAGCAATAACCTCAACCCTTCGCATTGGCATCCGGTACACGTACACTGCAGCCGAGTGTGTGCACCACGGCTGCACGGAGTATCGCCGAGCTACACCGCAGTGAGGACGATGATTCCGTATTTCATGACCCCTGCTGTATTTGATGCCAATACCAAGAAGAGTGCATAAGCTCCCAAGAGTGTGCAACTGTGTATACCCTTTCTATGGTGTCCGCCGACGGCAAAAACTCGCATCACGTGATGTAGTGTTCCTGGTGTACGTACCCAGCCAGTTTTAGTGACCAGTGGAGTTTAAAAGAATAGCATTCCCTGACAGAAACCCACTGAGCTTATGCGAGTCATCAGCATGATCATGGCAGATACTCGGACTGCGCGCACGCTAGCCTTCGTTGTACGTAGTACGAATCGTACTTGGAACACGTGATGTGAGTTTTCGCTGCAGGAGACCCTGTATGCAGAGTTGCACACTCTTGGGAGCTTACTGTAAAACATGTAATGTTAGGTGTATTAAATTTTGGTATCAGGGACCTGCCAGGTTTCAGGTGTAATGTAGAATTAGGTGACCAGAATTCCTTTCACATACAGTGCATACTCTAGTGCCTTTTAGGCGTTATCTAATTTAGGTGCCTGGTTTCTCTACCGAAATCACCGAAATTAAAGTTACACTGAAAATAACATGTTTTACAGTATTTACTCTTGCTAATACCAGAGGCTCAGGTTATAAAGTGCTAGGTTCTAACGTCCTTCTCCCTTAGTCATTACAGTTCTCTCATCTCTCATTTGTTCCTCTCCCCTTGTCATGACCGTCATCTCATCTCTTATTGGCGCGAGTCACCATAGTGAGAATAAAGAATAACAATACTAAGCTTACTTTCTATCTCTCCTTTCTCCTTGAACATCTTGATCTCCTGCTGGTGCACGGCTTCGAACGCCGCTTGCCTCTCGCGCTGCTTGGCCAGCTCTGCCTGTTTCTTCAGGTCGGCTTTGCGCCGCTCCGCGTCAGCAACAGACGCTGTGCAGGCAACAACAAGAACAACACAGGCATAGGTGTGTCTCTTCAGCAATCTCGACAACCCTTCTATACAGTGCTGCTCAATGGAATCCGGCCGCGTGAGTCAAGCTTGCGCCTTGCACCGTTTTGCAGCCCAGTGTTCGCTGGTATAGGGCTGCGCAATGCCCGGCGCTTGCTTGGGTGACTCGGCTGGATTTCATTGAGCAGCAACGTAGTTGGGAACCCCTGGACAAGATATCCAAAGTACCCGGGACATGACATATTCAGGGATACAAAGTAGTATTTCCAGGGAACCTGCATTCGTTGTTATGCTAGGTGGGTCGTTTCACCTCGGATACAGCAGAGGCTCGGTTCTACAAGGAAACAAAACAGATTCTCAAGTCCACTGCTGATATGCTGCATTGAATGCTTCACACATACACTTGCTGGAGGTGATGTACTGAGGTAAAAGATGAACTGCTCACACAACATTCTGAAAAGCTAAGTAGAACAGCATACACAAGGAAACCGAAGGCCTCAGCAAACCAGAAAGCAAGGTTCCGGTACTCTACTTTGAGACCCGCTTCAGGTAGTAGTAGTAGAGTAGTAGTATTTACTAAGTATTATTATAGTAGGGAAATCCCCACAGACTGTAAGTCTTTTTACAGGGTACCCTAGGTAAGTGCGTGAAATTGAGCTGAACGAAGAAAACCGTAAGTGCGTGAAATAGAGTAAATGAAGAAAACGGTGGCTGCATACTTCAGAAGTACTATGCCATTATGTATTGCAAAAGAGGCTGCGTAGAATGTATGCATGTAGTGACGCCTATACCAACCAGCCTACGTAAGTCATAGTGACACATACTGATTGCCACTCACTTACCCTTTAGATGGTCCAATTCTTGCCTGCACGAGAGAGAGAGAGAGAGAGAGAGAGAGAGAGAGAGAGAGAGAGAGAGAGAGAGAGAGAGAGAGAGAGAGAGAGAGAGAGAGAGAGAGAGAGAGAGAGAGAGACACATATCAAGTGGTGACAGTTAGGATAATTTTTATGCGACCATATAAATGAGATAAATGACGAGAGTGCCTATAAGACTGAGGGCAGCAATGCCAATCCAGTGACACAATCAGGAAAGCAGTGATTAGTAACACACTTTCCTCTAAAATGGACACGGACTGTGATAGTGTGTATGAGCAGAGAGCACAGTCTCTCACTAGCTATGAACCTGCGAATTGTCAATCTGCTGATGATTGTGAAGTACATCACCGTAACTCACTGTCTTGATTTCTGGTGGCGCTCAAACAGCCGAGTCTCCGTGTCCTGTCGTCGTTGCAAGTCTATCCGATCGATCAGCGTCTCCAGCCGGCCCAGTGCTGCCTCCGTCTGTGTCATGTTGACACTCAGAGTGGCTATGCATGCACACACACACACACACACACACACACACACACACACACACACACACACACACACACACACACACACACACGCACGCACAAGCGTACATGCACGCACAACCAAACAGATGTTGTCCTGTATCTTTCCGTAAAGACCAAGCCACTACAGAGCACTCAGCAGTGAGAAAGCACCATTGCCTGCGTAATTGACACACCAAATTAAATGATCACGAAACAGTTACCATGCCGGGGTTCTTGGCCAGTAAGAGAACAACATGCGCTGCAAGTAGAGATGTTCTCCTCTACTTGTGGCTAGCTAACCCCTTACCTACACTACGCTGTGCCGATGCCAGGGTCGATATCAAGCCAGGCATCTGATCAAGCTGACGCTGGAACGATACAAGTGCCTCCTGCTGTGCCAGCGCTTTCCGTAGTAGTGTTTGCACCTGATTGTCCGCTTCCTGGAGAGGAAACGAATCCAAAACAAGCAGACATGTTCTCATTCCTGATTCATGTCCAGTGGTCAGTGCGACATGTGTACTGTGGCCAGGCAAGTACTGTCGCGGACATGGAAATCCAGTCGATTGACCAGGGCCGGCGCCCTCAGCGCGTACAGAACGCTGCGTGCAGTGCACATGTTGATCCGATGCGACCAGCGCGCTGCAGCAGCACATAAATGCATGTGTGTACCACTTATCCACGGCTGCATGGCCAGCGCCCTGGGGCCGCTAGACGTGCGACCGGATTTCCATGTCTACGACAGTAGTTCACCCAGAAGCCTACACAACTTGAGTGAGCATGTCCGACACTGACTGGCGACCATAGGTGCAGGTGCAGAAATAACACGACAATTAACAGGACATCAAACGGATACAAACACAAAGGCCCATGTAGTGTACATGACTGAATACTGTATAAGCAGAAATATTCGTCTGGAATTTAATTTCGTCTTTTTCGTCCAAGGAGCTTTTGGACTAAATTAAATGTAGGACGAATATCGATTTGTCCAGCTTTTCTATACACTCTTATGATCCATGGACGAAATTTTCAACCGGACGAACTCCTTTTCTTTGGAGTTGGACGAAATTATTGACCGACGAATTTTTCTGCCTCTACAGTACGCAATATAATTATTGACTGACTACAGTAGCCTGCATGCGCGGACTCTGGCGACTGTTTACGGGTGTGTGTCTTCTTGTCGTGTGGTGCTTCTTGGAGTGCCATGCTTTTGACTATGTTCTACGATAATGTAATGGTAGTTTCTCCGACCCTGCCGTTGCTTTGTGCTGAGTGAGGAACCCAGCATAACATTCCCAACTGCCTCCTTCACTATACTGTGTGTGTGTGTGTGTGTGTGTGTGTGTGTGCACGTGCATGAGGGAAAGTATATCCCTCTTCTTTCTTGTGCATGTGTGCATGCCTCTCTCTCTCTCTCTCCTCTCCTTTTCTTTCTTTCTCTGTCTGTCTGTCTGTCTGTCTGTCTGTCTTACCGTAGCAGTGTTAGCACATTGTTGAGTATCTGTTGCCATATGGCTCCATTCATCTTGATATCTACAGCAATACAGTGCACAGCAGAGGCAAGCAGAGGCAAGCAGAGACAAGCAGAGACAAGCAGAGACAAGCAGAGGCAAGCAGAGGCAAGCAGAGGCAAGCGGAGGCAAGCAGAGACAAACAGAGGCAAGCAAGACAGCGCATAATGTTACTGGCAATCAAGCACCAACCCTGTAGAACGCCGTCTACAAACACGAATCGGCTCAAACTCAAATTCATTGTTGGCAGTTTGATTCGAAGTTTTTTAGTTGCGAGACATTGGTTTGGCATGCGCAGCTCCTACCAACATCCGGCAGCGACAACTTCTCTTAGCAATGCAGTCTCATGCTAGCCTAGGAGCCTCTATGGGCAAAGAGCCTGTATGGGTGAGGAGCTTCTATGGGTGAGGAGCTTCTATGGGTGAGGAGCCTGTATGGGTGAGGAGCTTCTATGGGTGAGGAGCCTGTACGGGTAAGGAGCCTGTATGGGTGAGGAGCCTGTATGGGTGAGGAGCCTGTATGGGTGAGGAGCTTCTATGGGTGAGGAGCATGTATGGGTGAGGAGCTTCTATGGATGAGGAGCCTGTAGGGGGAGGAGCCTGTATGGGTGAGGAGCTTCTATGGGTGAGGAGCCTGTACGGGTAAGGAGCCTGTATGGGTGAGGAGCCTGTATGGGTGAGGAGCCTGTATGGGTGAGGAGCCTGTATGGGTGAGGAGCCTCTATGGGTGAGGTAACGCTCACTGCGCCATGACCATTTGGTTGCTATGGACAGCGGCTGTGATGTTGTACAGCAGACACACTGGTACTAGAGCATTGAGCATTTGGTGCATTTGGTGCATTTGGTGCATAATAAGTACATCGCTACTACTTTATACGACACATGGACGCCATTGGCTTACTTTGAAAGGATGAATGAGCACGCGTCCACATCACATTTGCCCATCAATTGCTCTCTAGGCACACCCACACAGCAAAGACGCATCCAACAAAGCAAACAGAAAGATTAGAACAGA